CCTAAGTGCCCATCAACAAATGAATGGATAGAGAAGCTGTGGTATATTCACACAATGGAATACTATGCTGCATTGAAAAACAAGGAACTCATGCAATTGTATTCAAAGTGGATGACCCTCGAGGACACTATGCTGAGTGAAATATCTGTCACAAAAGGACAAACACTGCATAGTGACACTGCTGTAGAATGGGACTGACATCAGGGTTGGGGTAAGAACGAGAAAAACTGAATAAATTAGGTATATTGCATTAAAACGGATGGGGGAGAGAACAGTTTAAAAGCACTATATTATGGGGCATTTTGATTATCATAAGAGTCCGGAATGAAGGTTGCAGAGTGGAGTATACTCGGGGTGGGGGTGGGGGGAAGAATATGGAGTTGAGAAGAGGTCACAGAAGCAGCCACCTAGAGGGGTCCTAGACAAAGTGAGAGGCTGTGTTTAAGCCTGTCAATCAGTCCCAAACCCGAGATTGGGAGCTGAGGCTCCTGGGGACTCGTTCTACGGCCTACCAGTAGTAGGTGACTGTGCAGGCAGTGCACACTCGCTCGGCCGGGGCTTCGCACACCTCACAGCAGAGCCGGCGTCCCTTAGGCACCGCTAGTGGGTAGATGACATTCATGTTGCAGATAGATCTCCGTCTCTAGAGACCGTTGCCAGGAGAGTGTTCACGGGACCCTGGCGTCACGTGACGACGACGGGGCAGCTGCGTTCTCAGTATTTCACCTAGATGGCACTGCTCGATTGAGAAATGGAGTCGATTTTTGAAGTTCAATCGCTTTCTTTCTCACACACACACAACCAAAACTCTTCAAACTGCCAAGAAGTTAAACGGGAAGGCAATACATCTCTAGCAGCGCCCAACTCCAGGTAGGTTTGTACGGTGGCCGACAAGGATCAAATACAACCAGTAGGACACATAGGTAGGAAACGAACATTTCCAGACGTCTGCCCAGTCGAGAATTTTCCTGAGCGTGGTGTCACCTTCGCCGGCCTCTGGACAAATACCAAGTTATTTCCAGATTCAGAGAGGTGGGTAGCGACAGTACGATAGCGAACCGCCCCCTCAGGACTGCGGCTGCGCAAAGGCGAGGTGTATATAAGGGAGCAAGGGGGCGTGGTGCTTAGTAGATCAGGGCGGGCGCAGGCGCCGCGGTTAGTTTAGGGTTTAATGGCGGAGACAGAGCTCTCCACTGAGTTCCCAAAACCTGATGGTATTACTCGCTGGACCGAGGTTATGGTTAGCTTCACAGCCAAGCTGGGAGCACAGGGCCGGCGGGTGGTGTTGGTCACATCAGGCGGCACCAAGGTCCCGCTGGAAGCGCGAGCTGTGCGCTTCCTTGACAACTTCAGCAGCGGACGGCGCGGTGCAACCTCGGCCGAGGCCTTCCTGGCTGCGGGATACGGGGTCCTGTTCTTGTACCGTTCTCGCTCCGCGTTTCCTTTTGCCCACCGCTTCCCGCCGCAGACGTGGCTGTCGGCTCTTCGGCCCTCTGGCCCAGCTCAGTCAGGCCGGCTGTGTCTGGAAGCCGACGAGAAGGCACTCCCGGGCTTCGCTGCAGCCTTGCAGAGCTACCAGGACGCTGCGGCCGCGGGCACTTTTCTGGCGGTGGAGTTCACCACACTGACGGAGTATTTACATCTGCTGCAGGCCGCCGCCCAGGCTCTCAATCCTTTAGGTGCGTGCCTTACCTGGAGGCAGAGCTTGTCTCTTCAAGCCACGGATCTAGCTGTAGCCACGGATCTTAGGCCAAAACCCCGGAAATCGAGTTGAAAAGAGTTCTTACCTCTCGCCGATTTTTATTCTACTCTCCTTCTTTTTACAGGCCCTTCTGCGATGTTCTACCTGGCTGCGGCCGTGTCAGATTTTTATGTTCCTGTTTCTGAAATGCCTCAACACAAGATCCCTTCGTCTGGGGGCCCACTGCAGGTGATAGGCGCTTCTTTTATAGAGATCTGGTTCCCTGTGACCAGTCTTAGGTTGATAGACCCTCGATCTGGAAATGGCCTTTCTGCATTCCATATCTGCTAGGCACTGAGCATAAAGGGATCAGTGAGATTCCCTCACCACAAAGGCTATGCAGTGTAGTGAGGGGGCTGGACCCCGTTGCAATTATAATTCAGAGTGGTACATTTTCTAGTAGATGTATGTACAAATGGTAGTCAGGACATCTGGTAAATGAATTCATATTTCTGGGGGAAGTCAAAGAAGAGATCCCTCAGAAGGTGACTTTTGACCTACAACTTGAAAGATAAGCAGAACCATTACCAAAGTTAAAAAGGTCATATGTGAAATAGTTTTCCCAAGTGGTTTGGTAAAGCTGGAGGAGCCTTAGTGCCTCAACTGTTAAGCAGTCAACTGCTATCCGGAATGTTAGCATCTGCTCTGCTCATCTAAATGGTATATAGCCTGGAATACATTATGGGGTAATTCTCTGCCATACAGATGTTTTGTGAGAGGAATTGATTGGAGGACACCTCACAAAGCTGCAGAGTAGGGGGAGAGGTAAGGGTGTAGGACAGACTGAAGAGACAGCTTACTTCCTGGAAGACTTCATTCTTTCTTAAACAGCAGCTCAACTCATTGCTGTGGATTCAGAACCAACTCATAGTTTACCTTACAGTGGGTTTTCAGAGGCTATAAATCATGTAGAAGGAGGGTATGCATCTTTTCTCCCACAGAGTAGCTGGACGATTCGAACTGCCTGCCATTGGGGTTGGCAACAACTCCTTACCCACTGGGCCACCAGTACTTACTGTATACTAAAGATTTTGGATTTATTCTGTGATCCAAAGGATACTTACATAAGAGAACGAAATAAAGGTTGAGAAGGGAACTCTGGTGACTTAGTGGTAAGGAGTTGCACTGCTTAAAGAAGCTTGGTTCAAATCCACCAGTGCTCAGCAGAATGATGGGCTATCTTGTGCCTTGGGATTTACAACCACTGAAAATCAGCTAGAGGTACAGCAGTGAGTCAGGTCCAACTCAATGGCACATAACGACATTGTTTGAGAACAACATTCTGACATTAGTATGAAAAGTGGGTTAGAGACAGATTGAAAAGAATAGATAAATTGAGGCAATGGCTGTATATCTAGTGGTGTCTTCAGTTACCACTAACCCAAAGGCTACACAGCCTCTTATGGCTCCTCAGGAGAAAGAAAAGATGGGCAGTGTCTTCCCATTGAGATTGACAGCCTCTGAAACCTCATAGATGGTCACTGAGTTGGACCAAGAGGGTGGCAATGAACTGTTGAAGGTTTTTGTTTTTTATTGCTATAGTTTAATGAAGGGCTATGAGGAGGGTTCCTGGTAGTGTAGTTGAGATAATTGACTTCTTGGAATGTTTGTTTATAGGGTCCCTGCTGGCTCAGTAGGATAGTGTCATTTATTCATTCTTTCAAAAAATTTTTACTGAGTACCTGCTGCATACCAGAGAACTCTGGTAGCCTAGGACTAAGGAGTTATGCTTCCAAACCAAAAGCAGTTTCAATACACCAGCTGCTCCAGGGGAGAAAAATGGGCAGTCACCTTCCATGTGATTTATGCCCTCCGAATATCCACTAAGAGGGTCAGCTATCACTAGATACCAACTCAGCAGTATATAACAGTAACAACACTATATGTCAAGTCCTTTTGTAGGATCTTGCAATATAAAGCAACAGCATCCCTTGCCCTTGGATTACTTACATCCCACAGAGAAGACAAATACAAACTGTGATAAATAGTAATAAATAATGCTAAGAAGAAAAAAACTAAAAGCTCTGTGATCTAGATTGTGTTTGATAACAGCCTTTTGAAGGGCAATCCTAGAGATTAGCTTGTGTGATTAAACTCTACCACCTATAGTTTATGTTGAAAAGACATTAAACAATTAAATTGACATTCCACTTAGCAAAACTCCTAATAATTCATTCCCAAACCGTTGTTTGGGAATGAATTATTAGTAGTTTTGATCAAGTGAAAATTAAAACCAATTCTGACTCTTCAGTGCAAAATTTCACTTAAGTCAGAATTTTAAACAAGCTTTCTATGAAGGCAAGAAATACTTTGTTTGAGAGGCTTAAAAGCTCCATTTTATGTGGAATCTTGCCCAACACCCCCGCATTTCTTTACACAGTAATTTACTTTTGTTTACTTGAGTGTTTACTTTAAAATATAAGAATATTTGAGGAAATATGTTATTCTTCAGAGTTACATTCATGGTTATGAATGTGGCAAAGCAGAGAGCTAATATGAAAGACATAGTTTGCTCCAGGGTATGTTTGTTGTTGATTGTTGAGTCGAGCACAACTCATAGCAGCCCTATGAACAAAAGGCTTGAAAGCCTTTCTATAACTGTTGTCATTTATCAGAGTTTTCTAGAATCTTGAAATTATACTTCTGGACTTTGTAGAACCAAGGCCTTTAAGCTAAGTATTTAATATTCTTTGCAGTTTGACAAAGAGAGCTCATAAAAATTAGCATTGACCCGAAGCAAAAATCTAAGTCCCCGTGTCCTTAGTTTTCCGTGAGATTTACCAGATAGATAATGACCTTTGTTTTCTTATTAAGCTTTTCTTTTTCTAACACAGATAACAATGAAGATGGTGCCGAAAATGCTTTCACCTTTGGTTAAAGACTGGGCTCCCAAAGCATTTATAATTTCCTTTAAATTGGAGACTGACCCTTCCATTGTAATTGATCGTGCACGTAATGCTTTGGAAGTTTATCGACATCAAGTGGTAGTGGCCAATATCCTTGAATCAAAACAGTCTTTTGTGGTTATTGTAACCAAAGACTCAGAAACCAAGCTATTACTTTCAGAGGAAGAAGTAGAAAAAGGCATAGAGATAGAAGAGAAAATAGTGGATAATCTTCAGTCTCAACATACAGCTTTTATATGTGACAAAAACTGAAGTTAAAAGCCCTTTTAGGATCAAAAACTGTCCAGGGACCAGGGCTCTCAGAGCATAATGGTGAGAACTTGAGTGACTCCTTCGCATTCTTAAGATCACAGTAAATGAAGAGAAAGGGAAAAATCAGTTTTCTGTAGGAGAATATAGTTTGGCATTTGTCTTTTAAAGGTCATTTACTAAGCATTAGAAATGGAAACAAAGGGAAAGTAATTATGACCAAACCATGGGACATATTCATCTGAATGTCATCTTGAATTTGAAAATGAATGCAGGAGCTGTTTCTTTTTCTTACCTTTAAAAAGAGAACTTGGAAATTATATTCTGTTCCTCACAACACACATGTGAGCCTAAATATCAGCCTTACTCATGCTATATAAAGAGGATTATGGGTACATGAGTGTTGTGTTTCGAAGATGAAATATTTGTTCAGTGCCTGTTGTGTGCAGAGTTTTGAGAGTTAAAAGGATAAACATGTCTGATGGATGTGTAAACAATTGAGTGCAATAAAGTGTTCCCCAAAACTGACATAATGGACAGAGTATTGTTTTTTGGAAATTTATCAGATGGAAATAAGAAGAAAAGACATCTGATGACAGATTCCCTGTAGGCAAACTTTCCACTAAATTTACTCTTTGCATTCACCTAAATTCATCCCATATTTGGAATGGCAATTTACCATTCATATATTTTAATGCTGATATTCATATAGATGTACCCAGTCTTCCACTTCGAGGCAGTCAGAAATCCATTGGTGGCTCCACCCTGAGGGAGGGAAAGAGACTGGATTGTGGAGCAGGGCTTCAAACCATTCCTTCCCAGTTTAGACATGATTGACAAAGTGAAACTGGAATTGACCTAGGTCTGTAAAAAAGTGTAGCTGAACTGGAATGATAACTATTGTTAGATGATGTCAAATTGATTATGATGTTATTTATACTGATCCTGTGAATAATGGGTCTGATGAACCTTGCCCTATCCTTTGCCGTCTTCATCATCCCTGATTCACTTGAGCCCATTGATACAGTCACAGTGTCCATGCATCTTGTTGAAGGTCTTTCTCATTGACCCTCCACCTTTCCAAGCATGATACCCTTTTCCAAGGACTGGCTCCCTCTGACAACATGCCTAACGTGTGTTAGATACTTCACCATCTTTGTCTCTAAGGATCACCTTGGTTGTATGTTCTCCAAGACATATTTGCTTATTCTTTTGACACCCTGGGGATAGTTAGCACTCTTTCTCAAAACCACAACCAAAATCATCAATTCTTCTGTCACTCACTGTACAATTTTCAGGTGCATAGCAAGTCATTGAAAAGACCATGGCTTGAGTGAGGTGCACTTAATCTTTAAATTGACATTGTTGCTCCTTAGCACCTTGGAGAGGTCCTTGACAGCCGATTTCCCCAATGCAGTATGTCTTTTGCTTTCTTGACTGCTGGTAGAAAAGTGTTGATTGTAGATCTGAGTAAGATGAGATCATTGACTTAAGTCTATTTTCCCCCAGTGTCGTAAACAGGAAAGAAATATGGATTGATGTCTGGCTAGACAATCTTAGAAAACATTGACTGCTTGCACATTTCATAGCAATTGAATCTTTTGACCACCAAAGACAGAAACATGGCAGCTAGCACTTCTTTCAATTTTTCTTTCCACAGTCCTGCAAGTAGTCCATTCTCCCACATCAGGCTCACTGTGGCTCTTCTAAGCCTTCAGGCCTTTGAATCATAAATTTTCTCCTCAAGTTACCATTTTGCTTCATTAACATTTTTAAGATGTAGGTCTGTTCTGATTTTATCAGCCTATTTTGATGTTCTGATATGGAGTTGCCTTGGGTTTGAACCACAACTGTGCCAATTATTAGCTTTTCAACCTTGACTCATGACTTGATTTGCTTCCCCACCTGTAAGCCCACTGCTGATTCCAACTCATGGTAACTCTCTCTGTAAATCTTTATGAGAGGAAACTCCCATTTTTCTCTATAGGAGCAACTGTTAGACTTGAGCTGCTGACTTCGTTAGCATAACAGTGTAGCCAACTATACCACCAGGGTGGGCTTTTCTTCTGTAATGACTTTGCCATTTGTTGTGAAGATTAAATAAGACAATGAAGATAAAGCATTAGTCTTGTGCCTGGCATATAAATCACAATAAACAGTTGTTCTCTCTCAGCGTGGAATTGTGTTGTTATTGCCCTGCTTGTTTCCTGAATCCTTCAGAAATGTTTAAAGGTCTTCTTGCACTTCCCGATTTGGGGTTGAGTGCACACTAGAAGTGCTCTCAGAAAAATGGAAATGATCTCGAGAGGCAGGTGTTGCACTTCAACTAAATATTTGAAGTGCAATCTAAAATTTCATGAGGTGAACTGGGAAAAGTAATCCAGTGCATCTCAGTAGTAATAGACATGCCATAAATTTTAGTTGAAGAGATTTGAGTGATTTTCTGCCATTTGACACTGAAGATATAACCATGGAGCCAACACAAATTACCATGTGAGAGTCTTCTGAAATGAAATAACAAAAAAGTTTAACAGAGATATAGCCCAAAGGCTCAGCACCGCCAAGATGGGAGATTCTGAACTGAATAGCAGCTTTGTCTGTTGGGCAGAGGATCTGGAGAGCTGTGTTACAAAATAAAATTCCCAGCTTTTCTGTAATGAAGTTTATAGTCCTTGGTTTTAGTCCTAGGTCCATGATCCACCTTGAGTTGGTTTTTGTGTATGGAGTGAGGTGTTGGTCTT